AAAGGTGTCACTTCTACACTTAAATGTGCACAAAAGCACACAACTCACTGTGCGTGATTCTGCAGCACCAGTGGAAGAAAGAGTGGGCACTTTCAGTTAGCTTCCGAAGATGACATGGAGATGGGACACCATTATCCCAGGAGCTGAGGATTATTGAGCTTCTCTTTGTGTGAGCCTCACTAATCTTACCCTCAGGAAGAGTCTCATTAGAAAATCCTTTCTAATGATTGGTTAAATTTAGAAGCTGAGAGGGCACAGCTGACCCCGTCTCCCTCCTCTTTTCCTTTTCAAGAGATGGACAAATGTATCTCATCTTTGTGGTCCGTAGCAGAGTGTGTCTCGGCCTTGTTTACATGTTAGGATACAGGGCAGGTTGTTTTTTGTTTTTTTTTTTTAAATAACTCACATCCAGTCCAGTTAAAATTAGAATCCCAGAGTGTGGAGGCTTGGCTAATTTAGAAAGTGCCCGAGGTGTCTCTCGTTCGCAGCCGGGTCTGATCCACTGCTTATTTGGAGAGCTGAAAGGCAGGATCCAAACCGCAAGCCCACTGCCCTCGACTGCCTTCCAGCTCGTAACAACCCAAACATGTTTATGAGAAGAGACTGCCCGTCTTTTCCTGTTGGGGCTGCTGGTGGATTAAAATAACTTTCACTTAGCAACGCAACATGATCATTCAGTTAGTAGTGCAACGTGCCAAGGCACTGCGCCACCTGAGTTAAGTGTAGAACAACAAACAGTTGTAAGGCTCAACATTTGTCAAGTTAAGAATCTGGGGTCTCACTCATTGTACAGTGGTTTCCAGCTCAGCCACCCGACAGATCAAGTTTCCAAAACTATAAACTGCAGGGAAGGAGACGGATTCTATTTCTCCCTCGGAAAAGCTAGTGGATTCGAACTGCCAGAGACATGCAGCTTTTGGGTTAGCAGTGCAACCTTAGGGGCTACGCCACTAGAGCTCCCTAGGGTGCAGGGTAGAGGGTCCTTAAACTTTTTTTTCAAATTCCAAAACTTTGCAAAATCACCCAGCATCTTTGTCATTTACAAATAGTGGTGGAGTTGGTTTTTGCCAGCTGGAGTGTGACACCCCCTGCAGTCTGCTGCTGTCATGACAACTTGCTGTGGCAACAAAGAAGCCCTGGGTGGTGCAAGATATTCTTTCTTTTGGCTTCTAAAGGAAAGATTAGAGGTTTCTCTCTATCTTTGTTGGCTTAGTGGTAAGGAGTTGCGCTGCCAACCCGAAGGCATGTGGTTCAAATCCACCAGCTGCTCTGCCATGGGACAGTCTCCTCTCATGCAATTTGCTGATTCTGAAAACCCATGTTAGTTCTAACTCCATAGTACACAACCGTGTCTGAGGTGACTGGGAAGAAAGGCCTGGTGATCCATTTCTAAGAAATCAGCCATATATTGGAATTAACTCTGAGGCAGCTGGTATTGGACAGCCTGATGTTGTAAGTACTTGACCACACACATCTTTAGCAAATACTTGCTAAGATCGCTCACATTTCCTTTTCTGACTCAAGACAAGAACCATTCTATTTGCGTTCATTACATCAACCTCTAAAGATCATGAGATTTCTAAGCCCAAATGGAGGATGATACAGGGAGCTCTGATTTCAATGTAAAAATACTTCTCTGAAATCAGAGTGGTCTAAAAACAGCAGACATTGCTTTGTGGAGTAGATGTTGGTGCTGGTGCGACTCAAGTTGTGGCTGGAATACCACCTGTCCGAGATGTGCAGAATAAGATTCCTAGCTTAAGAAGAGTCAAGCAGATCCATCAAGCCCATCTAATGTCCCAAGCCCATAATTTTAAAGTCAGACAACAAAATAATCATTTACGGCAGAGAGGAAAGGTTTCTAAATTAAGAGATGAAACCTCTTATGTTCTGATCATTTCAACTTTCAATTACTCCCCAAGGGTTTATGCTATTAAATATATTAATCTGAAAATGAATACAGGTGAGTCCTGTTTTAAAGAAAACATGTTGCAACGTATGAAAACTTGAACTTCTCAAAATGATTAACCACAGGGGCTGATTCTTTTCCTTTAAAGAGAATTATTAACTTTGTAAATTCATTCACATGTTTTTACAGTTACTATGTTCGGGTAAGTATTGGTTTATAAGTCACTAGCCAAAAAGCTGAGCTATAGTAAGAGGAATGTGGTGTCAAGTTTGGAGGAAGACTCATTAACAACCTGTGTTATGCAGATTTCACAACCTTGCTTGCTGAAAGTGAGGAAGATTTGAAACACTGCAAAAGATCAAAGACTATAGCCTTCAATATGGATTACATCTCAACATCAAGAAGACAAAAATTTTCACCACAGACCAGTAGGCAGGATCAAGATAAATGGAGAAAAGATTGACATTGTCAACTGCGTCATCTTACTTGGATGCACAATCAACACCTCTACTGCCAGCAGTCAGGAAATCAGAAGATGCATTGCACTGGAAAAGTCTGCTGTGAAGGACCTCTACTAAAGAGCAATGATGACAGTATGAGGACTAAGGTGCACCTGATTCAGGCTATGATCTTTTCAACCACTTGCTATGCATCTGAAAGTTGGACAAAGAAGAATTGATGCCTTTGAGCTGTGTTGTTGAAGAAGAGTATTGAACATCTGATGGACTCCAAAAAGAACAAATAGATATGTCTTGGAGAGAATACTTCCAGAGTGCTCCTTGGAGGCAAAGATTACACACTTTGGGCATGATATTAGGGCTGTTCCTTGGAAAGGGACATTATGCTTGGGAAGGTCAGCAAAGGAGAGGAAGCCCTTCAACGAGATGGATTGACGTGGTGAGTGGAGTAATGGACTCAAGTATGTCACAGATGTTGAAGATAGTGCAAAACAGGGCAGAGTTCAAATCTGTTGTTTAGAGGGTTATGATGAGTCATACTTGACTCAGTGGCATCTCACAAAAAAGCCAATAGCAGCCACTCAGCTGACGGAGCCCTCTCTGGTGCAGTGGTTAGGTGCTCTCCTGCTAACCAAAAGGTTAGTGGTTCAAATTCAAGCAGTGGCTCCATGGGAGAAAGACCTGGATCTACTTCCATAAAGATTATAACCTGGAATCTGGGGCAGTTCTGTTCTATCACATAGGATTGTTATAAGTGACTCAAAGGCATACAGCAGACACTTGGCCAAAGGGCTTAGGAGACTAAATATTTAAAGCGTTCATCTTTAAAGAACATTTGGAAATTAAAAAAAAAAGACACTTCTGTGATACTATTTGTTATGTTGTTAGGTGCCATAGAGTCGAGTGTGACCCTCTGAACAAAAGAGCTGAGTCCCTTACTATCCTGTGTCATCCTCACACTTCCTGACACACTAGAGCCCGCTGCAGCACTCACCATGTCAATCCACCAGGTAAATGGTTTTCCTCGCCTCCACTTTTCCAAGCATGTTCCTTTCCTAACAATATGCTTAAGTATGTGATGGGAAGCTTTATCATCTTTGCCTCCAAGGAGCACTCTGGCTTCACCTTCTCCAAGACATCTCTATTTGTTCTCTTGTCCATCCATGGAATGTTCAGTGCTCTTCGCCAATCAAAGGCATCAATTTTTCTTCTGTCATCTTTATCCACTGTCCAGCTCTCAGATGCATAGCAAGTGATCAGAAAGACGATGGCCTGAATCAGATGCACCTTAGTCCTCAAACAGACATCATTACTCCTCAGTAATTTAGAGAGGACCCCAAACTAGATTTTCCCAGTGCAGTATGTCTCCTTATTTCCTGACTGCTGGTACCAAGGGTGTTAATCTAAGCAAAGATGAAACTGTTGACAGTTTCTTTTTTTTTTTTTCTATTTTTTCTATAATTATATTTTATTAATTTTCATAAACATTTACAGAGATTTTGGGCTTCCACTCATTCATTGTTGCACTATTCTCTCTACCCTCCTCCCAGTTTGTTCTTCTGTTGACAGTTTCAATCTCCTCCCCGTCCATCATAATGCTGCCTATTGGTTCAGTGGTAAGAATCTTTGTATTCTTAACATTAAGATGTAATTCATGAACCCTTTTGGTCTGTAAGCTTTCAAAGCACAGTGAAAAGTTGTTTTTGAAAAGAAAACCAATTTGTAATGTAACCGTTCACCCAAAATGTTAGAATTGTTGAATGGAAAACAAATCTGTAAACCTTCCCACAATTCACAATAAAAAGTTAATTATTTTGCTTAAAAAAAAGATGTAATTCATATTGAAGGATGTTTAACTATACTTACAATCTCTCTTTCCCCCCCCCCAGATAACAATATTCCTAGGTGATGCAAAGGTTAACATGCTCGGCTGTTAACAGAAAGGTTGTAGGTTCATGTCCACCCAGGGGAGCCTTGGAAGAAAGGTCTGGCAATCTACTTCCAAACAATCAGCTATTGAAAATCCTACAAAACAAAGTTCTAATCTGACACCCACAGGATCACAGTGAGATTCACCCACTCTTTGAGAGTAGCTGGGTCTAAGGCGTAGTGCTCTGAAAAGCTCTGCCCAGGAGTCATTCGGATTGCCCTCATTGTTTTCTCAGAGTTTGACAGGCACGCATCAGGGCACGTTGCTCCTGCACTTAATAACCATGCTGCTTTCACATCTTTGCCTTCCTTGAGGGGTCTCGGTTTTGCATTACTGGCGCAGGTGGGAGAGGGAGAGAGGACTTCAAGTACTTTGTAGGGGCAGCCCTGCCCTATGACTGCCCAGTAAGGTGGGCCCCTGGACTTGGGGGCGTGGACTTGGCATACGAGGAGAGGAGTGGACCTGTCAGCTTCCTTCTGGCCTGGAAAGAGCTGGGCCAGGTGTATTTCAGCCACCCTGGTTCCCAAGGGACATTCTGTTATCTTCCCAGCCCATCCTCACCCTGTCCTTCCCCCGTCCCCCTTGACAGAATGACTCCTATTCAAGACCATGTGATGCAGCTTTATTTTATTGGCAACGGGCACATGGAGGGGCACCCTCTGGAGGACATGGAGCCCCAGGGAAGGCAACAGCCGCCCAGCAGCTAGAAGCCACAGCCGCCCTCCACAAAGCGGCGACACTTGATGAGCCTCAGGTAGGTCTCTGCCCTGTGCATATCCTTCCTGAAGCAAGACAGTAGCCCGTAGTTCTTGAGAAGTGCTACTTCACTGCGCAGGTTGGTCTCAAACCTGTCATAGGTCTCCTTGAGGATCTGCCCAGGGTGGGAGCTGCCATCTCCCAGTTCCTGCCAGAGGGAGGAAAGAAGAGACTTGGAGGGTGGCATCCCCTGTCCCCCGCCCCACACATCCTCCTCCTGGTCTCCAGGGGTTCTCAGGGCAAAGGCATTTGACGAATCACAGAGAAATGGGGAGAAAGACAAGTTCTTCTGAATCAAGGCCACACTGCATGTCTCCTGCACATTGTCTCTCTGTGGTGGGGACTCAGGGTTGAGGTCCTCAGCCCCCCTCACCCGCATCACGGCCTGGATGCCCTCCTCCAGGTCCTTCAGCTTCTCGTAGACACGGTCTGTGGTGCGGAACACCAGACTGTTGGGGAAGATCTGGCTGTAGAACTGCATGGGGCTGAGCCACGACTGGATGAGCAGCAGCGAGAAGCGTAGAAGCTCCAGGTCCTGTGGGTGGACGGGGCATGTGGGTGCGGACTGGACCGAGGTTGGGGACGGCCTGGGAGGCCCACTCCCAAAGGAGGGGGCTACTCACGGATTTCCGCTGGGCCTCATCCTTGGCTGTGGGGGCTGGGATGGTCTCCGAGAAGCAGAAGGCACTCATGATGTTCTGGGTGGAGTACTTCTGCCCTTCGGAGATGTAGGCACGCTCCTGGAAGACCAGACCCCACCCAGACCCACGCTGGGACGCACCATCTCCACCTCACCAAACCTCTTCTGTGCTCATCTGACACACCAGCACTTGACAGTCCTGACTTTGTCAATTTCCCCCCTACCACATGAGTTAGGGAGAAAGATTCACCCTTTCCTGTCCACCCCCATCCCCAGTGCCTAGATTTCAGGGTCTTACAAACTCCTTGTAGGTGTCAGCGGCCAGCTGGTGCAGATGCTGGATCCTTAGCATGACATTGGCAAACATACTGGACACGGGTATGCCCGGAAAGGCCTCTGCCTCCGGGGGCCAGGATTGGTACAGCAGGGCAAAAGCCAGGAGCATGGAGGTCCGCAAGCCTGGGGAGGAAAAGGGGAACATAAGGGCCAGGCAGGACTGGGGAGCAGGAGGCCTCTGTCTGCCAGCTCTCCCCCTACCTGGGGGTCTTTTCCAATTCTCCAGGGATGAAGCATTTTAAGTTTGGCCAAATGTCTGGGCCAGTATGCCTCTGTTAGTCCTCCCATCCCATGTGCAGAGCCGGCCACCCTCCTGAGCATACCCCAAGTCCAAGGGGATTTGGGGGCACTTACCTGCAACCATCGCAGCTGGGTAAGCTATCTGAGGAGCTGGGTGCTGGGATCCTGGAATGGGTCCCTGGTGGGCCCTTTTTATACCCTGGCCCCTTCTCTCTCTGCCCCTGCCCCCACCTGTTTTCTCTATACATTTATGTATGGAACCACGGAAGGGCTTGTGCTGTTGGATAATGTAGAGCCTCCTCCTACTCCTGTCCCAGCTCCTCTTCTGAGGTCATGTCCCCTGGGCTTGTTGCCTTCTCCTGCCCTGTGAGGGAACCCAGGCTGTCAGCTTGAGAAGACCACCTAATCTGTCTCCTTTTTAAAGAGGGTGAATTGTTGTTATTATTATGTACTCTTGAGTCAAATACAACTCATAGCGGCCCTATGAAAAACGAGTAATAATGAACTGAGTCCAAGGCAGTGGAGGCTTGTCCACTTGGGGGAGAGGCCTGTCTTGTCCACCATGGGGGCTATACTAGGATGGCTTACTTGAGAGCAGACCCTTCCCTCCTGCCTATACTAACTCCCCTCCTCCCATCAGAAAGAATGTATGTGCTGGGAAAGGGGACAAGAACTCTATTTTCTGGAATTTCTGAGCATAGTCCAGTACTAGACTCTACCTTCTCCTTCCATCTTCTTCCTCTGTCTCCATCCTCCCACCATTCCCCTGCCTGCTCTGGCCTGGGGTAGTTGGATGCACTGCTGATACTGGCTGTTGATGTGGTTGTTAGGGGTAATCCAGTCAGTTCCAAATCAGAGTAACGATATATACAACAGAATCAAACTCTCCCTGGCCCTGTACCATTGTCGTAGTCCATGTTTGAGCTCCTATTCACAGTCACTGTATCAATTCATCTCATTGAAGGTCCTCTTTCTCACCAGTCCTCTCCTTTACCAATCACATCGTCCTTCCTTAGGGACAGACCACTCCTGATACTGTGCCCAAAGTACATCTTCTCTTCTAAGGAGGATTTTGACTCTACTTTCTTCAATACACATTTGTTTGTTCTTTTTTAAGCCCGCGATCTAGTAGAAATTCTTCACCTATAGTATAATTCAAAGGCATCAATTCTTCTTCTAGCCTCCTAACTCAGTGTTCAGTTTTCATATACATATGATGCTTGAAAACATCATGGCTTGGTTCCATCTTCAAAGTGATGTCTTAGCTTTTTAGACCTTTAAAGAGATCTTTTGGGAGCTCTGGTGGCCTAGTGGCAAGAAGCTGCAACTACAATCCCAGAGGTTCACGGTTCGAATCCACCAGATGCTCTGCCGGGGAAGGAGGGGCAATCTCCTCCTGTACCAGTCAGATCTGATTTGACGGTATACGCACACAAAAATAATAAAATAAAATTTAAAAAATATTTTTAAAAAGAGATCTTTTGCAGCAACTTTGCTCAATGCAATAAGTAGTTTGGTTTCTTGACTGTTCCTTTCCTGGGAAGGCGTTCTGATAGCATAGTGTGTAATGTGTTATGTCCCAACCGAAAGGTTGGCTGTTGGAATCCACTGAGTGATCCGTGGGAGCAAGGCGGGCAGACTTACAACCTTGGTGTATGGTAAATCCTGTAAACATCCCCAGATGGCTACACTCATGCTAAGCTGAGTTTTCTAACTTTTGTTTTTTCTAGTTTCTTCCTGGAATGAGGGCAAACTGACCGTTCCCCCTATTGTTTTTAGCCATGCCTGCAGAACCAGATACACATCGAGCAAGGTGTATGTTTTTCCTTAAACTAAGTGTTGTGTATTGTTTTGCATTTTCCATAAGGCTATGTAATTCTTAACTTTGCCGCATTCCAGGAGGCTAAGTAATTCTTAACTTTGCTGCACACCAGGGGTTGTTTGTGTAGGGGTATAAAATAGTTAGCTGCTTCCTCCTTCTTTCGCAGGAAATGTCCAGCCCACCACCACTGAAACTATGCAGCTCTGTATCTCCCTCTGCTCAGTAAGTTTCCGGTCCCAATAAACTAAAGTTGATGTCTTTTAGTCTGCCTCTGGGTCAGTTTTTTGGTTTGGCTGTGAACGTGAACTTTGAGGGACTTTCCCTTTGGGGAACAAACTCTAACACGTAGAAACTCCATGGAGGTTAACTATGGATGAAGGCAGTGGGGAGAGGGGGTTTGTGAATTTGAGTTTATGGGCATTGATAGTGACCACTAGAGGGCACCATACATACATACATACAATTCCTTAAGGGAGATTCCTACTCCTGGTGGTGTGGCAAGATCCGCCAAAACCACCTCATAGGGTTTCAATGGGTGTACTTTATGGAGGTGAACTGCACCCTATTTCTTCCACGGAGAGGCTGGTGATTTTGAATCCCTGAACTTTGGTTAGCGCTTAACCTCTGCCACACCAAGTTCCAAGTCCTCACAATTGCCTTTCCCTCCTCCTCTGCTTCCCTAAGTCATTAGAATGAAGGACCTACACTTTTAAGAATTACCCCTGTTCCTCGGACATGTCAACTTGTCGTAGAGATGCAAATCAAGACTAAAAAACTCTGGGGAAACACAGGAACTTCTTCCTGCAGCCCTGTCAGTGTCAGAGAAAGTCAAAGTTGAAAAAACCATTGAGTTCTTGAGCCTCTTCTTCCCCAGGGTTAGAACTCAGTACAGCACCTGGGACAGTGGCCTGCCCAGTCACGGAAGGCACCTCTTCTTCCTACTCTTCGTGTTTGTGTCAAGCTTATCACATTACAAAGAGCTTGCCTATCCAGCACTCTCACATTTGACTATCACGACCATTCAGTGATAGAGACATTCTTATCAGTCCACTTAACAGAGGAAAAACTGACACTCAGAGAGGGCATTTTGCATACACTACTTCAGCCCAGGTAGCAGATCTGCAAAGTGTTGCTCTTCCTTTTACGCCAGGTTACATCATACAAAGGTCTTTCTTTGAGTTCTATTAGGTTATTTCAACTGAAAACACGAGTCCAGCCCTGTTCAGAAGAGTCCCTGAGTCATTCAACCTGGGTGAAAGGGCACTATTTTGTAGTTCCTCCCACCTTTGGGGGATTTTAGTGAGTGCTGGGACTTATGTATATACTTGTACACGGTCAAAACATCCCCTAGGAGTGAGGACAACAGAGGCTAGACTTGGGGACATCTCTTCGTGGCCACATGAAGTGACACACCTCATGATAAATGGTAAAAAAGATGAAAGTTTCCAAGGATTCAATTTTACTTGGCTCCACAATCAACACTCTTGGAAGCCATAATCATCATGTCAAAGAATGAATTGCATTGGGTAAACCTGCCATAAAGGACCTCTGTAAGACATTGATTGAAAAGAGGAGGGGAGGAAGTCCCTCAGAAGGCTAAAGTGGGCCTGAAAAAGCCACAGTATTTCCCATTGCTTTCTACACATATGAAAACTAGACAAAAAATAAGGAAAAGCCACAGTGAATTGACACCTTTGAATATTGTATTGATACGGAGTATTGTATAGAACATGAACAAACAGTCTTAGAAGAAGTACAGTGAGAATGCTTCTTAGAAGCAAAGATTGTGAGTCTTGGTTGCATGTACTTTGGACACGGTTTGAACCATTCCCTAGAAAAGAACATTATTGTTGTTATGTGCCACTGAGTTGCCTGCAATTCATTTTAGCCCAGTATACAACAACCATATACCCTGCTCTATCCTGTGCCAATCTTTTTTTAAAATTGAGATTTTAATGAAAGTTTATAGGGAACTTGGATGTCCATTCATTTATTGTCATACATTTTCCTACCTGCCCACTCCACCCCCCAGTTTGCTTTTCTCTTTGAAAAAATTATTTTTCATTCTTGTGCAATTCCCTGCAAGCTCACTTTACTATGCAGCTCTTATTCTACACTGTTGTTATGCAAATAAAACCTAATCATATATTCCTTTTAAATAGTTCTTTCCCTCTTCTGTTTCAATGCAGTGCACATTATTTATCCCCTCTTTTCTTAATTTCCCCCAACCCTGATGTCAGTCCTGTTATATAGCAAAGGCATTATGCAGTATTTGTCCTTTTGTGACTGAGATATTTTACACAGTATAATGTCCTCCAGGGTCACCCATTTTGTATAATATTTCATGAATTTCTTGGTTTTCAGTGCAGCATACTACTACAAAGTGTGAATACACCACAGCTTCTCTATCCATTCATTTGTTGATGGGCACTTGGGTTAGTTCCATCTCTTTGCTATTGTGAACAAAGCCACAATAAACATGGGTGTGTGTATATCTGCTTGGGTGGCAGTTATGGTTTCATTAAGGTATATTCTCAGCAGTGAAATTTCTGGGTCAAATGGTATTTTTTCCAACTTTTTGAGAAAGCACCATTCTGCCTTCCAGATTGGTTGTACCATTTTACACTCCTACCTACAGTGAATAAGGGTTCCAGTTTTTCCACAACCTCGCCAGCAATTTTTGTTAGCTGCTCTGTTTAATTTTGCTATTCTTACTGGAGTGAGACGAAATCTCAAAGTTTTTATTTGCATCTCTCTTAGAGCTAGAGATTTTTAACATATCTTCATGTGTTTTTTGTTTTTCTTCTTTTTTT